TCGCACTAGCAATCAATCGCATCAAGGCCCGAATGCAATGCAGCATAATGTCGCAAGCGTGTGTGTCACAATAGCAATCAATCAACCGCATCAAGCCCCGGTACAGAATCTTAATTTGGGAAGTATATACAGAACTAGACTTAATGCTTAAAGAGACGTGTGCGCAGATCACAAGACGAACACGGTCGATCACCGCAACCATGCCATGCTTCCATCTCATTGAACGGATCCAACGGAATCAAAAGTCCCTGATAGAATTGAATTTGATCACTCACAGTTTAGGGTTTAGGGTTTAGGGTTTAGGGTTTAGGGGCACAGACGGGCCAAGGCACCATGGGCGGGCAGGACTCCCACAGCACAGCCGGGTCCTTGCTGCTGCGGACCCTCCAGTAACTCCAGTCCCAGGCCCAGTCGGGGTCTCGACGATGCGGCGCCCAGTGTTGAGCATGCTGCTTCACTTAGATCAGGGTAGCTGCAAAATGAAAAGTCTGCAAGTAGTACATTAACGCAAGACGCAAGAAAAACCTACTCAGGCCACAAGCGGACAGGTAAGACATTGCAAGCAAGATTCTGAGTTCATGGATTTCTGCTCGGCAGTAGCTCGTGAGCCGGCGCGAAAAAGCCTCACCCTGCAGGCCATCCTCTACTTCAGCTTTCCAAGCTGACTGGCGAGCTCGCCACAACGCATCGGGCGACGGGTGCAGGACCAGTGCCAGCACGTTCTGGGCTGATGCAATCAGAACTAGAAGAGGCTGCAACCCCTAAAAAAGTGGTGATCCCCATCCCTCGTACTCATCGGAAAGAAGCCATGGGCCAAGGATCGCACCAAGTCGCCCAGTCACAGTTCTGCGTTTGCAGCTTCCGGGATAAGCCGTCGTTAATGGCCTCGAGCCTCGCCGTCACCTTGCAGGATTCTAGGACCTCTGACCTCTGACCTCTGGAACTTAATCCAAAACGCCAAGACTTAGCCCAACACTGTGGTTGCAGCCAGCCTTCGTGCTGGGATTTTGGGGCGGCCGCCACCGGCCAGACTGGCCAGTAGGCTCCTGCGCAGACGACTGGCCAGATGCAGATGCTGGCGTAGGCTCGTTGGTAGACGACTGGCCAGATGCTGGCGTAGGCTCCTGCGCAGACGACTGGCCAGATGTTTCCGTAGGCTCCTGCGTAGACGACTGGCCAGATGCTGGCGTAGGCTCCTTGGTAGACGACGATGCTGGCGTAGGCTCCTGCGTAGACGACGATGCTGGCGTAGGCTCCAGCGAAGACGACTGGCCAGATGGCTCCTGCGCAGACGACTGGCCAGATGTATGCGTTGGCTCCTGCGTCGATGTTTCCGTTGGCTCCTCTGCAGATGACTGGCCAGTCTTCTTCTCAGATGTTTCCGTTGGCTCCTGCGCAGATGTTTCCGTTGGCTCCTGCGTAGTCTTCTGCTCAGATGACTGGCTAGCCTGCCCAGACGTTGGCTCCTGCCCAGATGCTTCCGCTCGCTTGAGCCATTCCGGCAACGTGGACCGTAGTCTCTCCCCCAGCAGCGACTCTGGCAGCTCTGGCGACGGCTTGGGCAAAGGAGGAA